GCCAGTCGAGTTCTGATGAAGGTACTCTTTGCCGCGAGAATGGCAAGGTATAACCTTTTGAGGGCGACGCAAGGTTTGGCCAGTAGGGTAACTAAGTGGTCACACGACTGTGATGTTGCATTGCATCGTCTTGTGTCTTACACCCATTGAATGCTTGACCACAAAATGATTTCTTTTATAGGTGACACCCCTGAAAAGTGTAAACTATGGCCATTCGCAGACAGCGATCGCGCAGGTGAACACGAGTCCAGGTCGACATACGGATGCATTTTGGCCATGGTTTCCCGCTGACCGCTTTTTCGAAGAAACAAACATCAACGGCAATGAGTTGCACTGAAGCAGAGGTTGTTTCAGCAAACCTATCCATGCGTACTGCCGGGCTTCCATCCTCCTGTCTTTGGCAAATCATCCGGCAGGCGGGGGGAGTACAAACATCGCGCACAGTGGAAACTGATAGTTGATCCGTTAGGAAGTCAAACAATTAGGCGCCATGTTGAACCTCGTGAAATGGTTCGTTCCTGAACAAAATGATGAAACGCCAGTGGATCTCAAAATGCTTTCGTCGATGAGTATCACCATCGCCCAATTCAAAGATGGGAACATTGAAACTTTTGTTCAATGGGATTGGTGCAATGGATACGAAGGTATTGAGAGCACCACGGACTGGAAAGACCGTGTTCAGGATCGCGGGACCAAATGAGATAGATTACGGTGTCGGGTCTCGGGAAATTAGGAACGCTTTGACTGACTTCAAGTACGCCGGCGATGGTCAACAAGGTATGAATGACATCTACCTTGTCGGCGCCCGTGCTTTCGAGATGGTCTTGTTGGAACTAGGATATTGGAATCAGGCCTTTCTCGAGCGTTCGGACATACCGATAAGACACAACGCTTAAATCTCGCGTGGCTTGCTGTTTGGTCGGCGACATTTTGTTTTGGTCTATGTCGCATCGATCCTTCAAGCCGCCGACATATTCACTTGAAACCATTTAGTAACGCTTATTAAGTTGCGTGCCATTGTCTCATCTCCTGAGAAGTATCCGGAAGGCAGAAAAGTCTCTGCGAAGCAAAGGGGAATCTTCTGCCGTCGTGGCATCGTCCGGACCGCAAGAGGATCCTCATTGAGGTTTGTCGGACCGAATTCGAAATTGGGAGACACGAGTCGCCGGCATGCAAAGGGGTGTTTGGTCATCCGAGTCACGGAAGAAGACCCCCCAAAAACTAGGAAGAGGGTCATTGATCAAGTGAACGATGTCCTGCAGAAGCATGGACCATCCATCAAGATCCTCGTTTGGGCTAGCATCCCATGTACCGGTGGGTCACCATGGCAAAGGGTCAACAAACACATTCCTTCTGCTGCCGTCTTGAAGGTCAGGTCACATTCATGACATGAAACGAATCTGGTCAGGCATGGTTGACCTTGTCAGCTTGCTTCGTCACTGGGCGCCGTGGATCGCGATCAACTGGCCGGATGGGTGGGGGTATGAAAAGTTAAACAGTTTTGCGTCTCTCACCTTTTGTGTCCCGTTAGGTTCGACGGTTGCGTAGTAGGTGTTGTGGACGTGGACAGTGTTCCAATTAGGAAGCCATGGAGAATTCAAACTAATCTGCAAGGCTAAGGGTTGACTGATGCTTTCAAAGGGTTGAAGTGTCAGGGTGGACATGAACATGCGGAGGGTCGTGGTGCATGACGGATTTGATTCACCAGGCTTTTCGCGTGGCCGCGTCTGCTCAATGACTAGCTGCTTGGACGACCACGCTCGATCGTGTACTTCGCGCTTTTTGCTCTCTACGCTCATTCCCAACATGATCTCCGCAATCGTGGAGCCCAAGTTCGTGCGCAACGGTAAGGACGCACGGGGAACCTGGTCGGCCTATTTTGCGGATTTGCGAGCATGCTTGAGGAACCCACTAACCGTGAAAAGTGGGATGAGCTCCTTGGCAGCGTCGGTTGTTTGGCCTCTCTGGTCGAGCATCCTCTTGACGCGAGGAACCACATCACGATTCAGCAAAGGGTGGACAACTTGAGCTTTGTTAAGGCGTCAGTGGAAAAGATTCACACGGACTATGCCAGGTGGCTGGATAGGACAAGCCTCAAGATCCTAGCGCTTCCGTGCCCTGAAGACCAGCGGCTGATTTTATTTAACTTTGTCTGTGATTCAAGCATGGCGCTTGTACAAGCAGATCAGCCACCAGAGGGATCTTGTGAGCCTCCGAAATTGACTCGACGAAACATCGGAGAGTTCATCAAGGCAGATCCACAAGCGCACTGGGAAGTGCTGCCGCCAGCGTTCAAAACGGTATGCGGCGGGGAAAGGCCTTGAGCAAATCAACAATGAAATCGAGGACTCCCACCGTCCCACCGTCGCAGCCGGGAACGGCGTGCCCCAGTCATCATCATCATCTCATACGCTGGAAATGACGTATGGGGGAAGTACGGTTTCGCGGGGAATACGTCGATAGACGCGCGTTCTGTCCACAGGAACTCAGCCGTTGCGAAGGCAGCGTCCGACTGGCAAGATGAACTTGCACGAAAACACTATCAGCAGTTGGATCGATTGGCAGCATTCCTCACGCGCCCAGACGTCGGTGCAATTGCTGTCGTCGCATTTGCTGATTCAGGACTACGCCCAGGTTTTTCGAGGTAGATGTGCTTGTTCAGTGACGCCGCTTATATGCGTGCTACCGCTCGGTACGACAACTTTCACGCGGGGGACAACACGACACGTCCAACCGCAACGCGTACTATAGGTACTACTCCGTGCTTGCCACGCTGACGTACCAGGTGTGGCGGCTCAAGGACTGCGAAGGATTGCGCAAGCAGGCCCGTATTCCGCCAATCATGTTGAAAGAAGAACGCGCCTGCGGGGGAGCCGAGGCCCTACAACAGCATAAAGCATACACCTTTCTCGAAAACGATCTCGCTTTCCCAAGAACCGCAACACGATTCGAATTTGCGCAAGACTGCAGTGCAACTTGATGGTCACGAGGTTGCACTGCTGGACGGTGAACATCTAAGAGCTACGCCTGAAGAGCTGGAATAAGAGCAGGCATCATCCTGCCAGGGAACTGGTGAGCCCAAGAAGGATGATGCGGCGGTTTCTGACGATGTCGCTGACATCCCGGTAGAAGGCGAAGTCAGCGTGGATTACGATCCTGATGATGCGGACGAGCAAGTGCAGAAAACCACTACTATGCTGGTTGGGCCCAGCGGCGAATGCCCGGAAGTATGGACTGCAACGCCGGGAAGAGGATAGCATTTCAGCCGATTCAAGAAGAAGGAGGACCTACGCACGCGGAGTGATATCGATCAAGTCCCAGAGTCCAAGGGCGAGATCGTGGAGATCATTGGCGATCACTGTCACAAGGGCCATGAAGATCCACCTGAACCCGACGCGGAGTCAGACGATGAGGAGATTGTCTTCGACAAACCTATTGTGGGCGGGTCAAGCGCGCTGGAAGGCGTCGCCGAGAAGATGCGATTCAACAAGATCTACGCAGCCCTCGCAACCCTCACGGAGCTATCGCCATGTCCAGCAATGCACTTCGACACTACACTGAGGCCGTGACAGGAAGGACGCTTCCCCTCGCCAGCGGAAACCTGTCCGCGCAAGAAGGGCGAGGACGGCGTGCTTCGACCTGTTGCCCAAGAGCCTTGAAGAGGAAGTCGGCCGAGGGTCTATAGGAGCGGCCCCAAAGGTGAAGGCAGCGCCGGATAGGATAGCCTCAAGAAGCCGAGAAGCGGCGACATGACAAGCTCGGCGGAAGCTGGAGTCAAGAAGAGCTCTACTGACGTCATCGATGTTGACATGGATGATTCTGCAACAGCATCATCGTCAGCCGCTCCGCCCATTTAAAGCGAAGCCTATGCCGAAACCATCAACCGCTCCGAAAGCTGCAGCATCGAGATCTGCGGCCCCCGGAAGGGTTGTGCCCCAAACTGTACCAGCCAGTGGGACGCCAATTTGAATGACATTGCCATCAAGGGAAGTGCCTGGCGCAGCTGTCATCGACCGGTATAGACCAAGAGCAGTTCTTCATCTCGAAGAGGCTGTCTGGACTTCTTCGTGGGCGCAATCATGCCAATCAGCGTGATCGGTGTTCTCGTTCTTGAAGAGGAGGTTCTTGCGGTCCGCAGTTGGCGTGACCTCGAGGATGACGCAGGCACGATTCCGGGTTGGTACCATGCGGACTGGACTTGGTATACTATGATTTCTACGGCGCAGACTGGTGGCACCAGGGACAGTAAATCCCTTGCACGCACGGCGGAAGCCGATGCCATTGTGGTAGTAGTGCATCTCTTGTTCAAATATGCGCTGGTCGTAGCACTTTGCCGTTGGTGGTGTCTTCATGCTTCCAGCTGAAGTCCAAGCACGCACTGCGGAAGTAGATGCCTCAACGCTTTATCTTCTTTTGACTGAGGCTGTCCGGATTTTGTTTGGCATTAATTTGCAGCAAGTGTTGATGTACACACTTCCAAAATGGAAGCATCGAGCGGCACGCCGCGCGCGCCTACGTAAGAGGCCCATCTTCACTTTTGATGAGCTGCGGATGCGTGTGAAAAGTATTGCGTCCGTTATGCAATCGTTCGATCGGCATAAACTGCATTGAAACTAGAGTCCATGTTTATGTTCCCATCGCGCGTCAGGTCAGTTGGAAGATCTATGAAAGGATCAGGCACGATAGGTGTTGTCCAAGCGACACACCGGGGAACCGGGGGTCTAAGCACGCACGTTGTCCCGTGTGTATAGGATTGTATAGGCGCGCACAGAGTTCTTCACACCCATGGCTGCCAAGTGCGTTCAGCGGGGGGTGTAGTTTCACGCATGCACACTTGCACATGTTCTTATGACCCCGAGTTTGGCTCAAGAAACAGGTGCATGTTTGCACTTAACTTTTAGGTTGTTGGCCCGTAATTTCAGAACTTGTTGGTATCAAGGTCGCAACATTTTGCTGCTTGCGCTTGAACCCTGAACGGACGCAACGTTTCTCTTCTGCAGGGACACCTGCTGAATGTTCAAAGCGCGCCAGCTGCGGCTTCCGCGCAGCCTGTCAGAAGCTTAGCGTATTTTGCAATCTCGGTCTTTTCAGAGCGATTAGGAGCTGCGCCAAGCCATTCTCTTCAAAGAACTTTTCCTTTTGCGTTGGTCTGACTGATCACTGCTGCAGCTTTTCTCCCATATTCACAACGCTTTGGTTCCACTGTTCAAACCTGGATATGGGCCAATGGGATGGCTTGGTGGCAAGACTCATCTAACGCTGCGAGTTGAGGAAGCCTTAAGTCTTGACAATGTAGATATAGGGGGAGATGCCCACAAGAGTTTGGACTCCCTACTTTCTTAACAAACTTAGTTTTACATATGATTGCGGTAGGCTTGAATATGGCCTTGCGATTTGTGCAGCATCCTTGGTCTTTGCGGAGCATGGGGAGGCACCGTCAGCGCAAAGCTGCCCTGCAGCTTGCCATCCCAGCTTTCCAGCTCCAGCCTGACACTCAAGTCGGAACAAGGTTTGTACGTTCCAAGTTTCCAAGTTTCCACTGCCACAACACCTGGAGGCCGTTGCTGCAACTGCCTCAGAGAGTACATTCCCCCAGCAGGCTGCGTTGATTTTGTGATCCACGAGAGTTCCAAAAGACAGCCTGCGTGTGAGTGTGTAGTAGTTGGCAAGTGTTGCAAGGCCTTGCTCGGTGGCGCTCCTGGAGTATCGTCCTTGGTTGCGTGGGCAGAATGAACAAATCAACTTTGCAACTGAGATCCTCCATACCCCTACTGGTCTCCTTTGTTTTGGCGAACAGACATCCAGATTTGTGCGCTCTTCAGCATTTATTTTCTGACATCAATAATCATAGAACACTGCTCAAGGCAGGGGGTGTTAATCAGCTGGCTGGTGTGGCGCACTTCCCGTCAACAGCGCAGGCACGATGTAGTGGAAGGTGTTGGTATCAACGTCGCACAATTTTGCTGCTTGCGCTTGAACCCCGCGCACATGGATCTTTTTCCATACAGGGCGCCTCAAATAACTATTCCACTGGTTAACTGGGCCTGAGTACTTATGTTTACATAACTAATACGAAATAGATAGGAACAGAAGACGATTCAGAGCTCCGATTCAGAAATTATTTACGGTTCTGTGAAAATCACGCTGCTCGTTCGCCACGGCTTGATCCTTCAGGTTCTTCGTCCGCATCCTTGCTTCCCAAGGATCGTTGGCCAAATCCCTTACTTCGTGCTGCGCCATGGAGAAACACGTTTAGAGCGAGCCAGCTTTGTTTTAGCTTTGAGGGTGCGCCAACCCATGTTTGTCAGTTGGTGCCGGAGCCTACCTTCCTTTGCGCTGCTCCACGCTTGCTCCTTCGTTCTTTGCTTCAGAACCGGAGGATTCCTGGCCACCTGGGTTTTATGGCCTGAGGACCAGTTGGGTGACAGGTCGGGCCTTTGAGTTTGAGAATGAGCCCAATCACCAAGGTGGCCATACTGAGTGAGGTGACAAAGCACTTGGACGAGTACACTTGGTGCTGTTTGCAGCGCGGTTCTGTGGAAGCCCGCTTCCTCACAACGAGCCGTCAGTCAGGATGACCGTTGAGACTGGCGCCTGGCTTTATACGCCGTCGACACCATCCAGGAGCAGAGGAAAAGGAGACAACGACAGTCCCATGACCTGATGACGAAGACCCATGGCCGTGACGGTTGACCCGGTCGTCGAACCTGCCCCCTATACTTCGCTACAACCTGACCCTCCTCAATTACCTGATTCACCTCAATCAAGGGCAACATTCACCTGATCATCAACAACAGGCCAACCCTGTGGCCGAATCAGAGGAGGACGACAAGACCATGAAAGCTCTGCAGAAGCTTCTCGCCAAGAGAGGCAATGCATCCTCGAACAGCAGTGAACCCGACAAATGGAGCTCGCTGTTTGGCCCAAAGCCTGGACTGAAGTGGAGGGGCGGCGCCGCGCCTAGCCCACCACCATGGAAGTATGACAAGGAGGACGTCAGAGCGTGGTCAAAGTATCAGAAGAAAGTGGACATGTGGGTGCTTCAAGCCGCGTCCTACATGAGCAAGAAGGAGACGTCGCTGGCCTTGTATGCTTCCCTGCAGGGAGAACTTGAACAAGAACTAGAACACATGCCCATGAGCCAGATCTACCATGAAGATGGCGTCACGGCTATCATGACGGCCTTGCGACAGCCAATGGAGCAGAAGCTCATCTACCAGCAGAAGAGAAAGTTCCTGCGTGAGTTTGAAGTGCTTCGTCGGTTCAATGGCAAGACCATGCGCACCTACATCGCCAGGTTTCGTCGAAGCCAGAGATGCCCCAAAGCAGTCGGCGTTGAGGTGAGCGGGATGTTCGACCAAGAGGCACTTGGCTCTCGCCTCCTTGACCGGTCCGGTCTTTCAGCCGAAGCTCAACGTGGCGGGAAGCCAGCAGGACCTGAACTGAACTTTGAGCGTGTTGCTGAGGCACTTGACTTGTCCTTCAATACCCGCAGTTCAGAGGAGCCCCACCTGTTGTGACCAAAGACGGCAGGGCGAAAGGCGAAGGGAAATGGCTGTACGGTTGTTAGGGCGAATCTACCCGGATACATTTAAGTTAGCTTTGGACACCCAAACTTTGGAGCTCATCGCCTGCGCTTTGGTGAACCAAGCCGATAGCCGATCGGTCTTGTTGAACAGGTCTTGGAAGCTTTTGTCTTTGACAAGGGGCTCAGCAGCTATCAGCTCTTGCAGCTCCATGTACTTACCCTCAACGTTCTCAGCATGGTCCTTCGATTGTTTTGCCAGTTCTTTGGCGTATTCAAATCCGCTGAGTTGGATGCTCCTCTGTCGGGCTTGGTGGCCTCCTCCAACACCTGGAAGGATCCGAGAAGACGAAGCATCTTGGAACCCGGTAGATGAAACGGGGGGGGCGGTCAGAAGGAGAAGGTCGGAATGAGAGAAACAAGTTTGCAATTTGAACATGAATAGACTACTAGCCTCTCTATCAGTAGCCTTTAGATCAGTGTCCTTTATGTTGGTGTCTGGGTGTGGTGCCCACTGATTGTTTGACTTACAGCTGCACGCGGCAGCAATTTTCTTTACCAAGCACAGGTGTGAGACTGAGCGTACACAGGTGCCCAAGAGAAGACATACAAGAGACATGTTTTTCTACAATCGGCAAGTGGCGCTGTCTTAAGTTGAAATGGTGTCCCTTGGACAAGGTTGGAGTGTCCAGGTGGGCGGGCAGCCCCGCAGACCAGGAGCGGACTTGAGGGCCCTTCTAGCATGGAGGAAAGGCAACCTCTGGCCCATCCGTATTTTGGGTCGCCGAAAGGAAAAGCCATTCTTAGAACCCCGCCGCAGAATCTGGAGGAGGCATCCTCCCAATGTTCTTGCGGCCACCCCCGTGCCTGAGGTATTGGGAGAAGAAGAAGAAGAAGCGCCAATCAAGGTTGACGCGCCGCAAGCGGGTAGTTCCGCAGCAGCAGCGGGAACAGCCGCAGCGGAACTGAAACCAGAAGAAGCGCCAAAACAAAGCGGAAATACAGATCCACCAAAAAACCCGGCAGGGGAATCGAACACAAAGGTTGTCAAAGCAGATGGGACAGGCCCGCCGCAGAAAAGAAAAGCTCAAAGTGATGCGGAGGAGAAAGCAGGCGCGGCCAAGGCAAAGGCAAAAGCCAAAGCTGACCCCAAACCAAAACCCCAAGAGAAGGCAAGTTCCAGAAAGAGAAAAACTTGATCTGGCTTTACCCTATCCAAATGGTTTTGGGCCAGTTTTTGCTAGCGGGGAGTTCCGCCGTGTTGCCCAGCGGAAGATCCGCGTAGAGCGGGTTGCACCGCCCAAAGCGCAAGTTTCTTGTAGGTAGCAGAGCACGTCTTAAGACCAACGCTCGCCAGTTCAGCTGAAAAAGCGCCATCAATTGGGTGGGAAAACCCGGGTTACAAAAACGGATGCCTGAGGCATGGCAAAACAAACAGTTTCAGATAATCGAAGCATTATTTTCCCGAAAGCATTGCGAAGGGTTCTTCCGGAAAATCCCTTGAACACTTACACACTGACACTTCCACCACACTTGCACTACAACATGAACGCTATACGTACCCCAGTGTAAGTGGAAGAGCGAAAGCATCCAAGGAATGATGCAAGTGCAATGATGAGTATGCAAGCACGCAATGAGTATGCAAGCATGTACCGAGTATGCAAGCATGTAATGAGTATGCAAGCATGCAATGAGTAGGCAAAGCATGTAAAAGCATGTAATGAGTACGCAAGCATGCAATGAGTAGGCAAGTGTGAGCATGGAAAACTAGCACGGGAGATGTCCTAACGAAAAACATTTCCCCGCTTTATAAATTCTCTCTTAAAGGCGGAGGAGGGGACGAACGGCGTCAACCGAAAATGCAACCCTCTGCGGAGATCGCGCGCGTCGAGCGCGCGAAATGCAGGCGAGAGCGCGATGCGCCGGGTGCGCGCGCAACCCTCTGCGGAGATCGCGCGTGTCGAGTGCGCGAAACGCAGGCGAGAGTGCGATTTGCCGGGTGCGCGCGCAACCCTCTGCGGAGATCGCGCGTGTCGAGTGCGCGAAATGCAGGCGAGAGTGCGATTTGCCGGCTGCGCGCGCAACCCTCTGCGGAGATCGTGCGTGTCGAGTGCGCGAAACGCAGGCGAGAGCGCGATGGGGTCTGTGCGCGCGCAACCCTCTGCGGAGATCGGGCGCGTCGAGCGCGCGAAAGGCAGGCGAGAGGTGTACTTTGTAGTATATATCTTTAGTGCGCGGAGTATCTGGGGAGCTGGAAGCTGAGAACTGGCGACTTTGTAGTAAACTGTAGTACGCGGAGTATCTGGCGAGCTGGAAGATGAGGGCTGTTGACTTTGTAGTACAACTTTAGTACGCGGACTAGCTGGGGAGCTGGAAGCTGAGAACTGGCGGCTTTGTAGTACAACTGTAGTACGCGGAGTATCTGGCGAGCTGGAAGATGAGAACTGTTGACTTTGTAGTACAACTTTAGTACGCGGACTAGCTGGGGAGCTGGAAGATGAGAACTGGCGACTTTGTAGTGCCATTGGAGTACGCGGAGTAGCTGGGGAGCTGGAAGATGAGAACTGGCGACTTGGTAGTACAACTTTAGTGCGCGGAGCAATCTGTGGAGCTGGAAGCTGAGAACTGGCGACTTTGTAGTACAACTGTAGTACGCGGAGTAGCTGGGGAGCTGGAAGCTGAGAACTGGCGACTTTCTAGTACAACTTTA